ATGGTGATTTTACCTCCCACATCTCTCACTAATCAGCCCTTCTCCTCCCAGCTCTTGTAGACCAGACTGATGCTACTGTCCCTCATCAGGACATAGCAGTGGCCTCCTCTCTGGTCTCGCTCCATCTAGCTCCTTGTTATGACTCATCATGCAAACGATGAGGAACATGTAATTGCTAAAATATAAGTCTGATCACTCCACTTATGCAGTTTCTGAAGTCCCAGGCTCTAGCCTGGGCTAGACTCTAAATTCAATTTCCTTTTGTTGTTTGTCTTCTAGATTTTTTTTTTTTTTTGAGACAGGGTCTCACTGTAGCCCAGGCTGGCCTGGAACCTACTATGTATCGTAGGCTGGTCTCCAACTTAGGATGCTCTTTGACCTCATCCTCCCATGTGCTGAGATTACAGGTGTGCATCATACCACACATATTTCCAGTTTCCCTTTCCAGCTTCATCTAGTGGCACAGCCCCACTGTCCTCCAGTCCCACCCTGGCTTCTTCTGAACTCAGGACCTAGTCCTGAATCTTGGATGGACTGTGCCTCTCCCAGGACCCTTCCTTCTTGAACTCCCAAGAAACACATGACATATGGTGCTCAGGTTATGTCTCTCTCCTAAAGCACCTTTCTGACCTCCTCCATGCTAAGACAAGGGCTCTCTTTGCTGTGTCCACAGTTCCTTGTTTTTTGAACTCTCAGTCACCCCATGCTGTGATTGTCAGGGCACAGTTTCTTTCATACTTGTTTCTCTGTACCCAGCACCCAGTATGGGACTAGGCACAGAGCAGGCGCTCAGTCAATGCTGAGAGAGTGAACGAGGGATTTGAACTGCAGTGTTACCAGACAGCCTCTGTGCCAGGGAAGGTGTGTCTCTCAATGCTGAGGTATGTAAGAAGCACTGGGTGGCTCAAGGCCTTGGTGGGAGCTGTGGGAGATTTGGGGCGACATTTGATCTGTCGAGGCAGTGGAGTGGGATGCTTCCCGTCCTAATCCTCAGCCCCACTTGGGAGAGGAATGCAACTCCTGGGGTCACAGTGACCTGGGAAGTAGGGAGGTCAGGACCCACCCTGGAAAATCCAGTAGATAGCCTGCCTGCATACTCTTCAGGCCTGCTGGGGTTCTACCAAGAAGGCCTGATAGAGGCTCCAGGTAGCACAACTCCTCCTGGTCAAGGGTCCTGCACAGACACTCTGGAGCCCAAAGAAGGAAGGGAGGGCCAGTATGATGAAGGCCCAAGGGCAGATATCTCTCATTCTCTTTTGTTGTTTTTGAGATAGGATCTCTGTGGTCCTGGACGTCCTGGAGATCACTCTGTAGACCAGGCTGGCCTCAAACTCATAGAGATCCTCCTGCCTCTGCCTCCAGAGTGCTGGAATTAAAGGCATGTACCACCATAACCTGGATTTTTTTTTCTTGAAGTGAAGTAGGAGAAACCAAGATTTCCCAACACAAACTTCTGAATTGTGTGTTTTTTCTGCAATTATTGCCTGTATATCCTGTCCCCTGGATATATCACTATTTCCTTCTCAATCCAAAGTACATGAATGCCAGCAGGCCCTTGAGCTCATGGTACACAGGTTCTCATTCCTATACATGGACTTCCAACAATATATATACACACAACCTTACCACTGCAGCAACACCCTCTCCATCTCTTGCATGCCTTGCATGCTTCTTGCTTGCCTCTGATGACAAAGAACTCACTCCACTCAAAGGCCCCTGTTCCACTGGAGAGCAGCTCTGGCTTTTTTTTTAATTTTATTAACTTTATTATTTAAAAAAATCAAAAACAAAAACTCTTGCAAATAAATAAAAACATCACACACCAATATTAACCAGACCCAAAGTCATTTTTTTTTTTTAGACCAGGTCTCAAGTAGCCTGTATAGCTGGCCTTGAACTCAGAATCCTCCTGCCTCCATACATCAAGTGCTGGGATGACACATGTGTGATACCGTGCCTAGAAATTCAAATGTGCATTCCTAGTATTCAGCTTTGGCTCTGGCTTGCTGGAGGCTTCACATATTATTCTGGTCTCTCCACCCTGCAGAACCATCCCCCAGGCTACTCCAAACAGCAGTAAGTGTGCCCTACCCCAGACTGCCCTGCCACCTGTCCTTGGGTGAGACCCCCAAAAAGGCCAGAGAAAATAGAACTGTACCATACTCCCTGCTCCCGGTGACTTCTCCAAAGTGACGCACGAGTTATGGGCAAGTAAGAGTCATGGAGATTGTTGCAAGAGCAGCAGAGAAGCCGCCTGTCACAAGGCAAACCTGCATCGTGTCCCTCCAGTCACTGTGAGACTCTGAAACGCCACCTACTGAGCCCACTGTAGGCATCTCTGGGAATGAATATGGGTCAAGGGCTGTGCTGCCAGGTTCTCTTTTATTAGCCAATTAGGACAAAGAACAGGTCACAAAGTCACAGGAAGTAAGACCAAAAGACTGACAGACAGATACACAGGACAGAGCATCATGCTGTGCTACGCAGGGGGCAGGATAAGGGAGAGAGAGTGGTTTGCGTTTTGTGTCTTCAACTAACAGAATAAATAAATACAATACACGGTGTTTTTGCCACGGGCTGGTACAACCTCTAAGCACAAATGGTCACAAAATAGCTGGTTTGGAAAGCAGTCTATATTGCCCATCAGCCTCTGCTTAGAGGTGGGGACCCAGGCCCCTGGACCATACTCAGGGAAGTGAGGAAGCAGGGCAAAGGAGACCTCAAACAGGAAGGAGGAGAAAGGTACAAGACTCTTTTGTAGAGGGGCTTGGAAGGGTTCGATCCTCAGGCTCTCTGCCCTGAGTGACCAGAAGGCCTGGGAGAGAGTCCACCAATAGTGTCAGGTGGGCCCAACCCAAGCTTGTACCCTCTAACCTTCCCAAGGAGGTATAGTTAGCTCTCTCTACCAACCCCTTCTCTTTCAGCTGCTTTAAGTACCTGGCTCTGGTACCTTAAACTACCTTGAGATCCTCAAGGATCAACTCTGCGTGTGTCTTCCCTTTCTTCTCTGGCCTGTGGGCTCGTGTCAGCACAGTGGGAGAACTACCAGCAAAATCTGAGAGAGCTCTGAAAAGCCTAGGAAGCCCTGGCTTCTGCCATGACAGACTACAACTCCTGATGGCCTTGCTCCTTCTGGGTATGAATGCCTAGAAATGTTGCGTACCAAGTCCCAGCGACAGTCCTTTGCACCCAGGAATAGACAAACTGTTTCAGCCTTGTGCCTTTAGAAACACAACTTCCTGAAGCTCACCACAATCCGTTAGTCATGGCCCACGGAACCCTCCTCAGCCCAGAACCCCTTCTCTCTCCCTGGCCAAGTCTCTCCTTCTCTGATGTTCCCATGGCTTTGGACTCACCTTCAAGATTCCAGATCCCAGGGAGACACCCCTTGTTCAGAAACCCTCAACTGCCTGCCTTTGGTGCTTGCTGCCAGGAAGTGGGGTATTAGGCTAGATTCTAGGCCTTTCTGCCCCACCCCTCACGAGGCCAGCCCCCTCCTGTTCAACGGTCCGCTCATGCTCACCTCTCCTATTCGCTATTGCGCTTTTCCCAGCTCAGGCTACTGACCTCCCTGCTTTTTACTGGCCGAAGCCTTTTCCTCCTACCCAAGTCCAGACGGACCTTACTAAGGTGGGCACTGTTGGCTCTGTAGGCCAGTCATGCCAGGCCACCCTCTAAGCCTGGGATTCGGGGTTCAGTGTCGAGGCAAAGGACTGGGGAATCATAACCGGGGATCTAACCCATCTTGCCCACCCCCACCATGGGCATGAAAATGGAGTAGCCCCCAAGGCTAGCACTGGGATCCAAGAAAAATAGGCTCAAATCCAGATTATCTAACCTAGAAAGGATCCATTACACTTACAGAGAAACTGAGGCAGTATCCACAGAGAGCTTCATGTATGCAGGTTGCATTGTTCCTCAGTAAACAGCAGTAATGTTCTAACTTACACATCAGGCTTTTCTAAGTGTCTGTGCTGAGTCGTCATTGTTAAATTAAATAAAAAGCCCCTGCCCTCCAAACCTGTGGGCACAGAATCTTCTAAGTCATCTTATCCAAGACCATCCCAGGAAGCACTGTGCTTGCCCAAGGTCACACCACCCTGAAAGGGAGTCTGCAGAGCAGGATTGCCTAGACATGTAAGAACACCCCTTACCAGGCCCGTGATAACTAGACAGAACTCCTTCTCCCACAACTGCCGCTGAGACAGAAGGGCAACAAATCCTGAGACCACGTGTTTCACTCACCGACAAGGACCCCTAGGGCCCTGCAGTGATGTCAACTGTTCTACTACCAGCCTGGCCAATGCCGTCACACGCCCCTCTACAGTGTGGGGAGCTGGTACTTCCAAGACAAGAAGTGAGAGAAGAAAAGGTGGCTTGAGCCCTTCCTAACATCTGGGAGACGCTGTGGGGCTGGGGTTACCTCCTGCCTGTTGCTCCAGAGCCTCCAAGTAGGACTTGGTTGAGTCTTGGGGCAGAGAGTGGAAGAGCCGCCTAGAGAGCATTCAGTTAAGCGGGGAGGTAGGCAGGCAGGGCAGAAGAGAAACAGGAAGGAACGAAATTACTAAAACCAAAAGCCACACCCCCCAAACAGTTTGAGAGTACAGGACACTAACACAGCCAGCACCAACAGAAGAAACCAGAGGCGGAGGGATGGCATAGCGGTTAGATCCAGGTAGGCAGGGAGACAGGATCGAGACAGAGGCAGTGGGACGGGGGGGGGGGGGGGGGGGGGGGGGGAATCAAGGGGGGGAAAGAGAGAGGGAAAGATGGAGGGAGGGAAGGAGAGAGAGAGAGAGAGAGAGAGAGAGAGAGAGAGAGAGAGAGAGAGACAGAGAGACAGAGAGAGAGAGAGAGCGCTGGAGTGAATTTCAGAGGCAAGGGTAGCAATGGCAATGTGTTGGGAGCAGGGAAAGGGGCCCGGGGCAGGCAATGCCTGAAAATATAGTTTTATATATTTATATTTATATCTCACATTCCACACATCAACTTACTAGTGGGGAGGGCCAGGAGGGAGGAGGCAATACTGAGGAGGGGATCTAGCCAGTTGCTCACCTCCTCCCCGTTTGACCTCCACGGGGTCCAAGCAGGGTCATGCAGAGGGTGTGTGGGTTTCACCTGGGGCTGGGACTCTGAAGAAGGGGCACGGGGTGAGAGGACTCCAGGCCCCGACATCCCTGAGCTCTCAAGATTAGTTCTTGGAGAGCCTTCTGGGAATAACCATGGGTCTGAGACGGGGGAACACACAAGACCATGGCTGGGTTGGAAGCCAGTCAGTTGGGAAGTGTGTCGAGTCCCAGGGAGGCTGCGTGCTGCTTGGCCCGGAGGCGAAGGTTTTCAATGCTCGTGGTTTTACTGTTCAGGGCAGCTGAGGCAGGTGCCAGGCCTGTAGGGGGCGCCGGCAGCAATGGGGACCCCCACACACCCTGGTGGGCAGCCGCAGCGGCTGACAGGGACTGGTAGTAGGACTGGCAGTGCAGTGAGCTCAGTGGGGCCATGTTGACACCTAGGTAGGGTACCGCCGCAGCCGCAGCTGCAGCCGCAGCAGGCGCCGGACCTCCCACTTCAAAGGACGAGTAGTGCACCAAGTTGTTGGTGGCTGCCATGTGCTGGCGAAACTGCTCCTGCAGCCGGAAGAGGCTGAGCGGGGACGACGAGTAGGAATGGGAAGGGCCCAGGAGGCCTCCCCCTGCCGCTGCGGGAGTCATGGGCAGGCTGCCTGGGGAATCTGCAAGGACAGAACAAGAACCAAGGACTCAGAACCAGGGGATTGGCCTTGACGGAGAGGGTCCCTTGGCTTCCTATTCCCTTGGTCCTGCAGTGAAGATATCTTTGGCTGACACCATCATCACCGCATATCAGCCAGGGCATCCTCTGAAGTGACCCTCAGAATTTGGTTGGGAGGGAGTTAATGAAGCTCCAGGATTCCTGCCTGGGCACCCACGCCTGAGTTCCCGGGGAGCCCCTTAATCTTTTCAAGGAATATCCAGGACTCTCATCTCCTCCCTCCATCCCTCAGCTTACAGTCCCTATACCCTCCTCGCCTAGCTTAGGGTTTGTGTCTGAATATACAGTGTTCGTGCCAGAGCTCTGGTCCTTCTTAACCATGGCTATGGATGGGGTCTCCAACCCAGAGCAGCTTTGTGGATGGATATGCCCAGCCCTAAAAAGAACTATCCCCAGCCTAGAGTGATCGTGTACACCTTTAATCCCAGTGCTCAGGAGGTAGAGGCAGGTGGACCTCTGTGAGTTCAAGGCTAGCCTGGTCTACACAGGAAGTTCCAGGTCAGCTGGAGCTACATAGTGAGACCCTAGCTTTTAAAAAGGGTGGGGGGGAGCATCTAGACCAGAGGTTCTCAAGCTTCCTAACACTGTGACCCTTTAATCCAGTTCCTCATGTTGTGGTGACCCCCCAACCATAAAATTACTTTTGTTGCTACTTCATAACTGTAATTTTGCTACTGTTATGAATCATAATGTAAATATCTGTACTTTCAGATGATCTTAGGCGACCCCTGGGAAAGGGTCTTCCGACCACCTGCCAGTGGGTTGTGACCCACAGGTTGAGAACCACTGCTTTAGACCTCTCAGCAGATGCCTCTTCTACAAGAGCTCCTAGTGAACTAGCCCCTTGAGATGAAAAAGCGTGAGCCAAGTCCTAAGGGAAGTCTGAATCAGGGTGAAATCTGCTGTACATGGGAATCCCAAGTACCAGTATGGTATTACCCAGCACACACCGGTACATCTGTACCGGCTGTTAAAATATTGGAATAGCTGAAATAATTGCTAAATGGCTAAGTGGATCTAGTCAGTCCCTCACCTGCTCCCTCCTGAGCCTCCCTGCCGCCCAGGCCTTCTGCTGGAACCATCTATCTAGACCTTTCAATGACTCAGCAACTAAAGGGTGGACAAGGGTCACAGGTCTGCTATAGCCCGTCATGCCTAACTGGTCATGCTCCCGAATGCCAGTGGTTGGCTATCCTGCTCTGACCACATCACATACTCAGGCCCATCAGCTGGACTTGGCTGCTTTCCCTGACCTGTGGGTGACCTCCCACCCAAGCCTCACCTGCCTTGGGGCTGCCCCTCTTGCAGCCCAGCACCTTGCTCTCAGATCCAGGGCTCTTTTCAGCTTTGGGCTCCTCGGCCCCAGCCCGGGAGTCCTCCTCACGGTCCAGCTGATCTTCAGGGGCAGACTCACTGGCTGATTGCTCCGACAGGCTCAATTGAAGCTCAGCAGGGGGGTCACCACTGGGCAGACTGGGAGGCTGTTCTGCCTCCAGCTGGGCGTCTGAGGCTGGGGCCTCCAGCTTGCCTTCTCCGTGGGACCCCTCGGTCTCCTTCTGCTTCTGCAGCTGTTCCTTCTGCAGGCTGCGCTGCTTCTTTCGAAACTTGGCCCTGCGGTTCTTGAACCAGACCTGGTGGGCCACAGAGAGGCACAGTCAGGGGAGGACAGACTGTACTCTGGATACTCCAGGAGAAGGTGTCGACGACAGTCCTCCACTCAACCCCATCTCTCCCCCATTCCAAATAGGCATGAGGGAAGCAGGTGTGGAGCTCTGCACCACCCAAGCAAATGCTAGCTCCTGGACAACTGGACACCAGACAGATGGCTAGCACTCATCCACAAGGTACAGTTGGGAGAGCCGGACCCTACCTGCACACGGGCCTCAGGCAGATTGGTACACATGGCCAGCCTCTCGCGCATCACCACATCTGGGTAATGAGTCTTCTGGAAGGTCTTCTCCAGGGCCTCAAGCTGCTGGGCTGTGAATGCCGTGCGACTACGACGCTGTTTGCGGTGCTGGGAGCCATAGCGGGCCTCCAAGATGATGTCTTGAAATGTACAGCCGTTGGAGGGCAAACAGAGGGGGCCCATTTAATTATGGGAAATAAGTTTTGAGTCTGATCCTGCTCTGACCCACTTTGGACACCCAAACAACCGTCAGAGCTGACCCCTGGCCCTTGGAAATCACCTAGCCTCTTTCTACTGGTTGGTATTGAAAATCTTTCCCTCCTATCAACCTCCACTCTCAGAATTACAGAGGACTAATTCAACCCCAAGCATGGCTGTCAGGCACGTGAGTGTTGGGGCGGGGGCGTGTCCTCTTGACCTAAATGGCAGATCAGGTGTGTAGATAGGTTAATACTCCAAGATCCTTAGAGTCTCAACATAGTAGGCCAAGAATGAAAACTTGCAATCCTAGCACTCAGGAGGCTGAGGTAAGAAGGCTTGCAAGTTCAAGACTAGCCTGAACTATACAGTAGAACCATATCTCAAAAAGAAAAGAAAAGCCCCAAGATGCTATAATATTCTAAAATGACATGATGCAAATGATCTATGAAAAACATGTCTCAATGATTCTGATACCCTGTGGACCTTAGGTTCTGGCTATTAAGATTTCCTAGCACCAGAATACTGACCCTTAGCCATGAGAAGCCAGCTTGTCAACTGGTACTGATCCCAAGGATTGTTTAGGGGAAGTCTCACTGGGCATACTGGTTCTGTCTTTTACACTAACTCTCATTCTCTTCCTTGGTCTACATGTCTCTGATGGAAAAACATGAGATTCCTGGTCTCATTTCCTAAGCAGAAAGCTTAGCTCTGGCAGGGCCCTCAGCACATGGGAAAGGCTTCTTACACCCAGTCGTGACCCTCTCTGGCTGCTTCTTCAAGGAAGAGAACAAACCCCCACACCACAAGCTTGGAGGGGAGTGGCAGACGGTGAACCACTGATTCCCAGGCTTGTCTTTGTGTTTGGTAACATGAAGCCCAGCCAGGATGGTATCTCTCTGGGGCTAGGGTCTGGTCTTTTTCCCTTCTGCCTAACTTTTGGCACCTGGGCTGTAAGTTCCAATCACACAAAAATGGACCCTGTCGATGCTGGAGGGAACTCAAGTCAGTTTTGCCTCTGAACAGTACCACAGACTCATCCTCTTGTATCCCAGGGCTTGGGAAGCTTTCTACAAAACCCTAAATGGGACATGTACAGCAAACCCTAGACTTTGGATACTTCTTCTATTAAAGGGGGGAACCTTTATAACTTGTCCCAATCCTAGCCCAGGCAGACCTGAGGTCATATGTGTTACTCTCGGGCAGAAGAGGCAATGGGGACCACTTAGTCACATCCATTCTGGTGGAGAGACAGCAGCTCAGCATCCTACTGCTAGCTCCAGGGACTTCAAAACCTGGGGTAGTTTAGGGGAGACCAGCTCCCTAGCACAGCACCTGCCATGGAAGGTAAGATTTCCATAAGAATGTCCTAGTAGGGCTCATTGCCTCCTTAATTTCGACAATTTGAAAGTGGGCTAAATACCCCAGTTCCTCTGTTCCTATCCATGGGCATGAGCCTCTGTCCTGAATCCTCTCTGTGCTATAGTCCTTGAGGTAGATGTCACATTGGGCAAAGAGAATTCACTCCAAACTAGGGAAGCAACCATAGCTGGAGCAGGTCTGCACTGACCACTACCACACTGGACACTCGTGTCTACACTGATCTAAGAAAGATGACTAGGGACTCAGTTGCTCAGGGGCCTGCCAGGTCTAAAGGAGCAGGACTGGCTGCCATATCCTCCCTGCCAGTCTGGTACCCAGGGCAGGCATGGTCCTCAGACCCTCTCCCATTCCTGGGCCCTGTCTCATGCCAGCCCTCCCCTTTGCAGTGCCTTTAGAACGTGTCTGCCTGCTGGCCAGCTAACAGTTTTCCTTTCTTCACTAGCCCATCATGTTTCCCTGAGCTGTCCGCCAGTGGCTCTGGTCACCATGCTCTCTCATGATCTGTGGGCTCTTGGTCTTCCAAGGAGTTCTATGAAGTCCGTTACCACTGCCTGGCATGGACATCGGCCCACCTGCACCAGGATGGGCTTGGACTGGGACATCATGAACTAGGTGGCATCATTTCCCAGGAAATCTGGCCTGCCATGATGTCGTTAACTCCTTCTCATACCCATTGATATTATTTGGATATAAAATAGCCTGAAGGCTCGTGTGTTAAAGACTTTGTCCCTGGCTGTGACACCAGTAAAAGGTGATTTGATCATGAAATTGCTGACCTTATCAATGGATTAGTCCATTGTCGAATTCATGGATGAATGGACTGCTAAGAGACAAGGCTAACGTGGAGGAAGTGGGCCTCTGAGGGCATGTCTTTGAAGGGTTTATCTTATCCTTGACCCATCTTCTGCTCTCTGCTTTCTGCCTTCCATGAGGTAAACAGCTTTACTATGCCATGCACTCTCTGACAGGATACCTTGATACAATCTCACAGCCAATGGAGCCAGTCAACCATGGCCAAGAGACTTGTAAGACTGACCCAAAATAAGTCTTTCCTCCTTTAAATTGTTTATCTCCGATATTTCATCACAGCCACAGAAGCGCTGGCACTGAAACCAGCGGAGAGGCAATCAGGACCGGGCTACAGCTAGCTCTCTCTCTCTTGGATGCTTGGGACTTGCTTTGGCCATTGAGTACTAGTGACTGTAAGCACAGCCAGGCTTTGCTGACCAATTCACACCGCCTGCCAGCTGTCCTAGCCCTACCGCTGTCTGAAATGAAACCTGGGTTCAGAGAAGAGAGGTGAATGGGCAGACAACTAACTACAAGTCTGACTCCAGAGTTTCATCCATACTGCCATGTTCCGACCCCCAACCTCTCCAGCCCTTAGTCTCTCTGAGCTTCAGTTTCTTTGTCTATGAAGTGAAGTAGTAACCTTCTCATGGGGCTTGAAGACAGGGAGGGAGAAAAAGAGAAAGGCGGGGGTGGGGGGAGATCCACACAGCGGCCATTATTTGTATCTCCCCATGTCCAGTCTCCTCCTGAGGCACTCCAGCTGTCTTCCAGCTACTGCCCAGGGAGAGTTCCCTGGGCTAGTCCTGTACCTGCTGCTCCAGTCTCTGCATCTATGGGACAGGGCTAATGAACACCTTCTCTGCAGGTCTGTTATAGGAAACTGAAGGCTGAGGCAGCTCCAGGCCCCAGCACTGTGCTAGCAAGCAAACAGTATTCGGCAGGTACTTGCACAGATGTTGTATAAATGTGCTGCCCAAGCCAGCACAGCACAGATTTTGACTTGTCATCTATGTTACTAAGTGACCTAAGGCTTTCTAAGATACCTAGAATAAGCTGCTCCTCTTTGTGCCTTCTATAGCCTCCTTTTTCATTCCCCAACGTCTTGTCCTATGGCTAAGTCCCCAGGGCTCTTACCAGCTAGGCGCTCAGCCAGTGTAAGCGCGTGCACTGATGGCCGGTAGTCGGGGGCATGCTGGGCCTGCTGGGCTGCCTGCTGGTGCAGGTTGTACATGGCGCTGAGTGAATTCATAGCATGTAGGGAATAGCCATTCACCCCGTAGTGCTGCATGGCGGCATCCGCCTGCAGATGGAAAGAGAGAGAAGAATCATGAGGTGTGGCTGTTGAATTCCATCTTGGGAGAGACATCAACCCCAGCCCAGAGCCTCAATGCCCACTTTATCCTGAGGACTTCTACACCAGATGAGAAGGTGGCCTTGCCTTGCCCACAGAATGCCCCTGGGACTCCTCTTTCATTTACTCACTCATCTCCAGGACTCTGCAGGACCTGGGACGCACAGTTAGATGGCTTGGGCTGGAATCACAGCTTTGACCCTTTGGAGCTTTGTGACTTTGGACAATTCGCCTAACTTCTCTGATCCTCAGTTTCTGTATCCAGAAAAGGGCACTGACAGTAGGACTAACCTCCTGGGGTTACTGAGGACTAAGAAACACTTACGATATGGCCTGGAGTACTATATGCTCAAAAGTGTTCGTATTAGCTAAGCATGGGGCCCATTTTTTAAATCACACCACTTGGGCATGAAGACAGGGAGATCAAAGTTCAAGATTATCATCAGCTACAGAGCTAGTTCAAGGCCAGCCCGGACTACATGAGATCCTGTCTCAAAATAAAACAAACAAGTTAGTCTTTGTGACTGCCCAATCCATTTGCTGCATTATATAGCCCTCTCTTCACTGAATTCCCCAGCACTTCCTCATGTGTACATGCATTGATTTACTCGCACATGTATCTATTCAACCAACACCACTGCATTTCCCTGGAGCAAAGTCCAGAGCTGGACTCCCCACTGAGGCATTTTCTCTGATGAGAGAGTAATTTAAAACCCTAATATGCTTCACAGACATAAAACTATTGCTCTTACTGTTACACATTCACCGCCATTACCACCTTTATTCTCACAAATCTCCAAAAAGCAAGCAAACCAAGAACCACAAACCCCATTTGCAGCCTTTGGAAAAGAAGAGAGCCGTATTAAGGCATACAGCCAATCCAAGGCCTGCCCTGCTACAAGTCACTGAGGTTGTGTTCTTTTACAGTCAATTGCTTCAAGAAGGGTGTATCAAAGAACATATCTCTCCTAGTGAGATGTCTTGTATGAGAAAGAGGCTGTCCAGGCCCTATCAGCCCTAGTTCACCTGAACCTTGCAATCTTTATCTGCAAACACCCACCCTGCATCAACTTGAAATGTCCGTTTTGGAAAGTGACTCCATGTTTTCAGCCACTCGAAAGACACAAAGGTGTTTTTATTGCCTGGATACAAGAGGTAGAAAGGGAAGGCTGAGGTAATGCAGGTTCTTTTCCTAGGGGAACACATCCAGCCATCTCAGCTCCCCATTCTTATTGAAATAGACATATGTACATACAACCAAACATCCACAACATGCATACAAACACATACAATCACAGACAGCCCGCACAGACATATATACAAAGGCATTGTTGGCAAAGCATTCACAGAAGCCATCTTACCTACACAGAATTCAATGTCATCTTTCCAAGTTCCACATACATTTTCATAGGTGTCTATTCATGCAGCAGATTCATCTATACACAGACATTATACCACACACATTGTACATTTATTTAAAAACTACTTATTAAATACCCACCTACCAAGTAAAAAAGCCCCTAGCTCCACAGAATTTACATTTCAAGGAAGTAAGGATAAAATAAAAAATATATAAATGTACTAGATCTGATGTCACAGGCCTGTTATCTCAGCTATCTAGACACTCAGGCCTGAGATCATGAGGTCAAGGTCAGCCTTGGCAACTTAGTGAAACCTTGTCTGAAATAAAAAAAATAAAAAGCTGGGCATATAGTTTATTGGTAGGACACTTGCTCAAGATGAGTACCCATAATGCCTTCAATTCAATCCCCAGTGTGGAGATCTCTCTCTCTCTCTCTCTCTCTCTCTGTCTCTCTCTCTCTCTCTGTCTCTCTCTCTCTCTCTCTCTCTCTCTCTCTCTCTCTCTCTCTCTCTCTCTCTCTCTCTGTGTGTGTGTGTGTGTGTGTGTGTGTGTGTGTGTGTGTGTGTGTGTGTAGGTCACAATTCTGTGGGTCATTCTCTCGTTCCACCATCTGGGATCTGAGATCAAACTCAGACTGCCAGGCTTAGTGGCAATCACCTTTGCCCACTGAGCCATCTCACCAGCCCTGGGAGGTTGCTTTTTGTTTTTTGTTTGTTTGTTTGTTTGCTTGTTTGTTTGTTTGTTTGTTTAAAGCTCATTGTAAGCCAAGGCATAGTAGCACATGCCTTTAATACCAACACTCAGGAAGCAGAGCCAGGCAGATCTCTGTGAGTTCCAGGCCAGCCAGGACTAAATAGTGAGACCCTGTCTCAAAAACAAGCAAACAAGCCCCTCCACCTCACTGTGTTACTGTGTGCAGAACAGACTGAAGGGACAAGAAGGAAAGCCAGACTATCGCTGCAGAGTCCCAGGTGTTACCCACGCTGTGTTCACCGGTGGGAGGGAGGTGTCAGGAGGTGAGCTTCTAGAAACAGTTTGAAAGTAGCGTGACATGATTGCTGATAGGTTAGTTACAAGAGAGGAGGAAAGGAGAGCACGGGGCGGGGGGCGGGGAGTAGATTTAACTGTAGTTTGGGCCCTAGCATCTGAGTGAAGCTGTCTTGGCAGAATCAGAAGCACTGAGGAAGGAACTAAGATCGGGAGAAGTCACGGCAAATGTGAAATGTGAATCTAACTTCCAAGTAAGAACGGACTGGCAGCTGGGTGTAGTAGTCTGGGGCTGGTGGCTGACATCATCCAATAGTTACAGAGGCCCACTGAGCCATCAACGTGGCTATGTGCCACAAACGTGAGCAGAAATCTAAGAGAAGAGAAGGGAAGACGTGGTGATAGAATGTGTTTAAACATTAGTATTGCCGGGCAGTAGTGGTACACGCCTTTAATCCTAGCACTGAGGAGGCAGTGGCAGGCGGATCTCTGGGTTTGAGGCCAGCCTGGTCTACAGAGAGAGTTCCAGGACAGCCAGGGCAACACATAGAGACCCTGTCTTGAAAAGAAAAAAAGTAAATCTGATAGGCTAAGCCACAAAGCTCAACAAACTTAGAAAATTGCTAAACATATCAATGACAGAGCAAATAGAAAATTAAAAAGAATATTCCAGCTGGACAGTGGTGGTACACGCCTTTAATCCCAGCACTCAGGAGGCAGAGCCAGGCGGATCTCTGTGAGTTCGAGGACAGCCTGGCCTACAGAGCGAGATCTAGAACAGGCACCAAAACAACACAGAGAAACCCTGTCTGGAAAAAAAAACAAACAAACAAACAAAAAAGAATATTCCAAAACTATTGTTTTGTTTTGTTTGAGACAAGCTAGCCTCAAACTCACTCTATAACCCTTAACTGCTGGTCCTCTTGCCTCTACCTGCTCAGTGCAGTTGAACTTGAACCTAGAGCCTTGGGCATGCTAGGCAAGCACTCTACCAACTGAGTTGTCTCCAGCCCTAATGTATTAGTATTAGTAATTGAAGTAAGATACCTAAGAAAAGTCAAGTTAAGGAAATGAAGAAATAATTCCTTAAGGAAACAATGGGAGGAGCCACAACTGACATAGACAAAACCCTTAGCGACAACCACAGAAAGAAAAGGAGAACAGTAATTTATTTTTCACCAGTTAGATTATCAAACACAGAGAACAATTATTATCTAGGGCTACTCCACAGGGAAGTGGTAAATGGTCCTTCTACCTCAGTGATGGAAAAACTCTTTATTCTCTGCATCCAAAGCCTTCAGAGAGTATATCATCTTTCATTTAACGATCCCATTTCTAGAAATTTATCCCTCAAGTATACAGAGATATGTGTACAGGAATATTTATCACATCACTGCTTATGATGGCAAACAATTGGAAAACTAACTGTCCATCGAGAAAGGATTAGTTCAGCAAATGAGGGTATGGTCACGGCCCACAATGAAATACAGCGCACAGCTTAAAACAACGATATGTATCTATATGTGCTGATGTTCGCAATATATGGCTGGGTGGAAGAAATAGGTAACAAACTGGATGCCTGATGCAATCTCATTTTTTGTAATGTATGAATACATATGCATAGGAAAAAGTCTAGAAGGTTATGCCCTGAAATGTTGACAGAGGTTATCTCTAAGAGATAGTAAATGGGATTACAGGAAATTTCCACATTTATATATTTATTATATTTATAATCTTTTTCTTGTTGGGGAGGGGTGTGAGTGAGTGGAGGGTTATTATATGTTCCCATGGATGTAGAGATGGAACTAGGCTTCAAAGGGTGTCACAAGCTCCAGATGAGGCAAGGGAACAAAATTTGAAGGAAAAAAAAAAGATTTTATCCATCCCCTTCCTCAGCCTGTGACTGCAATGTCACTCCCCCACAAAACTCAGGGCTTTACTGCCTAAAAGCATACTATTGTAAGCAGCATTTTAATTCACTTAATGATTTCTGGTCTCGCGGTTTTTGACGCACAAAGAGTCAGGGTTTTTGTTGTCGTTTTGTTTTTTGAGCTGGGGTCTTTCTGTATAGTCCTGGCTGGTCTGGAACTACCCATGTAGTCCAAACTGCCCTCAAACTCAGAAATGCATCTGCCTCTGCTTCCCAAGTGCTGAGATTAAAGGCGTGCGCTCTCATCCCAGCACAAAGCATCTTCAGGAAGTAAGTCAAGAGAGACATGACTCAGCCCCATAAATGCCTCAACACAGCAGCCTTTGGTCCCCAAGACTTTCCCGGTCTGTCTTCCCATCCACCTCTCTGTCCAGATTGATGCTCGACCTCTTCCTCAGCACCCAGGAATGCCTCACTACCTGCCACTTATCAATTTCCTATAGGCCTCTACCGGAAACGCAGACTTTTCCTCCCATTCGACTGACAAACTCCCACTTCTTCAGGAATCCTAGCTCAAGGACTCCTCCCTGGAAAAGGCTGTCCCTGCAGCCTATGAGGAGGCATCTCTTCCTTCTCCAGGCTCCAGACAAGAACACCTGAGGCACAAAACTTGTGACAAGGACAGCAGCAGCTCCCATTTACATAACACACTTTCTA